CAACTTATTGATCGACATTCAGCACTACAAACGTCGCATAAGGAAGATTCCGACCGCATTCCATTCACTCTCACGTTTCACCCTCACAACCACTCAGTTAAATCCATCATTCTTAAAAACTTTAAATTACTTCAAAACGATCCAGAGACAAGCACTATCTTTTCGCAGCCTCCGCTCATTTCATTCAAACGCGACAAAAACATAGGCAATTTTTTGGTCAGAAGTTCTTTTCAGACTAATGACCAACCAGGCACTTTTAAATGCGCTCGTGCACGATGCAAAACGTGTCCTTTCATTCACAACACTGATAAAATATCGGGACCTAAACGATCCATTAAGATCACCGATCACTTCACGTGCACCTCCGCCAATGTAATCTATTGCATAACTTGCACTTATTGCAAAAAGATATACATCGGCGAAACAGGCAGAAGACTAGGTGACCGATTCCGAGAACACCTTCGAGACGTGGAAAGGAATGACAAGGACACATCGAAACCAGTCGCTAGACATTTTAATTTACCTAATCATTCTAAGCAACATATGGCAATCTGCGGTCTTTCCTTGCACTTAGGTGGCACGGAAAGCCGTAAAAATCTTGAACAAAAGCTCATCTTTCAAACCGGCAGTCTAAATCCCACAGGGATCAACGAACGCTTTTCATTCCACTAATTTATTCATGTTTTTCTCGTTGCCATGCTCCCACCAATAACGTAGCTCCATTTTCTGCCTTTAAAAGCACACACAACCCACAATTCCTCTATTCGCTCCGACGAAGGGCTAACGCTCGAAACGTCAGCTTTTGTAATCATTACGGTGGCTAATTTACCATTTCAACTTTGTTGATATATCCATATTATTTCGTTACTCCCACCGACGCAGCCCCAAACAGTTTCTTTCGAAACTATCAGCCTTTATTCACATTGTTTATTTGTTGTGTTCGATGGGAATAAATCAGCGTTGATAATCGGTCCAAACCTGAACCTTTTCTTCTACGAAAATTTAAATTTCCCCTCACATCGACCTCTCTCCTTCGAGGTATTTATTTTCAGACGCCGCGATTTGTAATTTTTCAGAGACCGTAATCAAAACGGTTAACAAGTATTAATACAGGCTAACACACATGAATACAAATGAAAAGACTTAATTGAGTTATTTACCAGCGATTCATGGCTAATTTTGTGATACTTCGAGACCATTGCATGATGACGATTTCACCGTAGACCTTACGAAAAGAGAGCAGTTTATTGGTATTTTTTTATAACATGTTTCGTGTTTGTTCAAACAAAACTTTACACTTCCCTCGTATCAGCAATAATCCATTTCTGATAAAACAGCGGCTAAAGAGCTTTGATCTCTCTCTAAAATCGTTTTTGGACGTCGAAACGACCTTTTGCCATATATTTCCTTCTAGAAACTTGCAATGTTTGCAATGTATGCCCCTTGGCGATCCCAGAAATCTTTGCTCAAACACAAGGATCTGATTATTGGCCACTCATTCATTGCCCCGAATCCCAAGTAATTTGCGAAAAGAATTTGTGGAACGAATGTCCATGATGTTTACTTTCTTGTTTCATTGGAGGATGAATAAACTCAACGTTTTACAAAAAGGAATCAGGTGAAGTCTCCCATTTTGTGAATTAACTTACTACAGAGAAGACTCAAGGTCCTTTCTCGTGGGAACAACGGGGTAATATACGAATTCTTCCATACAACAGAATAACGATCTTGAGGAACGCGGGCTGCATGTGTGTACAGCATTTTACGGAACAAGACCTTCTCCTGTTGAAAAAAATAGGCATGATTTACTCCATTTCAGTTGCCATAAACTGTTTCAATTAAACACATATTGACGGGTATTCGGCCAGACCTTTAATCTTAATTTTGCTTTTAATAAACTGAGTCATACACGCATTTTGATTTGTTCATATTTACGATTTATTGGTGCACGAACGCATAGGTGACGTCAGCCTTTGGATTCGGGAGATAACTCAGACTTCGGTTTTGATAATTCACGACATCATACTCGACCTCATCTAATAATTGCTTTATTATACATTATCTTACGTCATACCTACAGACAATAGATTTTACATGTGTAGAAGTGACGTTATACCGACGGAGAATGGATTTTATATATGTATAAGTGATGTCATACCTACAGACAGTAGTTTTATGCGCTCTTGTCTTTACAAGTGCAGCTCAGGAATATGTATAATAAAACAATTACTGGATTTGGTTTTCGCATGATAGTGATAATTAGCAGGGCCTCAGTTTGTGTTATCCGCTTCAGCCTTCGGCTTTGGCAGATAACACAAACTGGCCTTAATAATTATCGCTGTCATGCTCAACCTCATCCAATAATTGTTAATTATTACATTGCTCGCAGTACCCGTGGGCAAGACGAAGCGAATCCTGTGTTCTGATTGGCTACCAGAGCGGGCAAGATGGGCCCATCTTGCCGGCTCGGGATTGCACGCATTGATCCCGCGCATGAAAAAATAGAACTAGACATAAGTTCGTAATTCTTGGAAAATTTCGGCGATGGAAACGCAAAAAGCGGAAGAAGATAATCAAAACAAAGAAAACAGAAACGACTCTCGTGAGTTTGTTGTGATGCAAACACAGTTGGCTCCTCCTGGCGTATTTTTCATTGAGTTCTTTGAGCTTTTTTTTTCGTAATAGCCGGTCATGATTTGCCGGCAGATATCACTTCTTTATCCTTCGGAGACAACAACGAAAAAGTTCGAGCGTATTGTGTTGTCCCAAGTATTCAGATAGACAAACAAACTGGCAGTCAAACACCGGAAATGGGAGTAGTGACACAACCCTATAGATGGAATACGCAATATTTTGCGGAAAGAAATAATCCGTTGGTTAGACAAAATTATGACTAATTGTTGTTTTTTCTCTTCGTTTCATTGTTTGCGTGAAGATCTGACCGAACACTATCAAGAATGTGCATTGAATGAGCAAATTAGTGGTGCTAAGTACATCGCTGAGCGTGAAAACTTTATCATGTCAGATTCACTTGGATTCCCTTTTTAGGCGCGGGTACGCGAAGAGTGGAACGACTTTTGTCAGGAGTCAGAATATGCAAATTTTTCATTCACTCAGATGTAAACCAATAGATATATCAACGGCAGACTAATTGTTATCAATTTTCCGAAATAATACCAGAGCACCTCTATGAGTGGTCCTAAGAGGGTTCTCTGTGAAACGTGATCGGCTGTTTTTAATTATCTTAAATTGGAATCATTAAAAGCTAAGAGCAGTAAAATGTGAATGATATGCTAGTCGCGATACGTGAAACAAAGAAATTTTTGTGCTATCCGTGATAACTGACGAGAAAATGCAGTTTTTCCATGAAAAAGCACTCGACCTAGAATGTCTACAAAGGGTCTACAAAGCGACGCAAAGCTCTCCGGGCGTTCTGAAGATTTTTTAATCTTGTGTAAAAAACGATATGGGCACGAGATTAGGAGGCCCCTTGGGACCTTAAGGGGCACAGTTGTAGAAAAGGGGAAGTCCTAAGACCAGAATATGCAAAACAAAATTTGGGTGGGCCATCGGGAATGACGAAGAATAAACACTCCTGCGCGTACACAACAAAGAGCGGGATCGTGAAACGTTTGTTGGTTTCTTTCCTCCAACTGCTTATGATTCCTCTACTTCTTGAGGAAGACCGTCGAAAGTTCAAAGCAGGTACCCTCCCACCCAACATGTATGCCACCTCTTTGAAACCAACGGAGAAGGTTAGGTCAAACATAAAAGCTCTGCATAATCCTGCTAACAATAGGAAAAGTCTTTAAAAACAGAGGCAAGATGAAACTAGAGCGGCAAACATCAGTACATGCAGAAGGTAACGACGCTGTGGAAAGTGATAGCCGTACTACTAAATGCGACCAAATGCGGCACCGACTCTGATGGTGAACTTCTACCTGCGAGAGACCATGATGACGAGACGACATTTCTCAACAACCCACAGCAGAAGAATTGTTAAAGTTACATCAAAACTCTGTTAGGGAGAGTCAATGTGAATACATTATATCTATATTCAGTTTTATGATCTTCTACTTACAAGAAGGCACTATCGCGTGAAGACAAATATTGGAATTGACCGTTTGCATGTAATATGGAAGAAATGCACGATCTTAAGGTTTTCAAAAATGCAAGATCTTTTCATCACTGCTATTTTATTCACCGTTAAGCGTGAAATAAGAATACTGATTGCTGTCATTCGTTATCTGTTATATTCAGTAGTCGTGAATCGTGGGAGGAACCACCCTTACGGCACCTATATTGAGTTTATGAAGTAACGCCGCAATATTGAAATATAATTCGACTTTTTTCAAGGGAGCGAGTTTCGAATAATACTCGTCGCAATCAGAACATGTGTGACCGGGTCATAGTTCTTTGAAAGAATACAGGTGTGACTATGAATGTAGAGGCTGAGTGCGAAGAGTCTAACTCCTCGATCGAGACGTTTGCTCGTCGATCCTTCAAGCTCACAGGTGGTTTATGAATAGTGAGTCTTTTACGAGTGGATTTTACGAGCGAAACTTGAAGTGAAATTTTGATCGAACTTATGAGGGAACCTTTGAGCACTCATGTAAGCAAAAGTATCAATTAAACGTAAGCTTAAACAAAGCTTTTAGAAAAATCAGAAGCACAACTGATCAGTCCATAATATCCAGGCAAAACGCTCTTGTGGCATAGCAGAACGAAACGCCGTCAGAAGACTTACTTGATGGTAACAGAAATCATTCTGGAAGATTACAGGAACGAAGAAGGAAGTCAAAGTCCACTCGTATAAGCAAAGGCGTCCGCGGCGTGATGAAGAACCATCGAGATTACCATGGAAGAAAATTATGAACCGGTCAGTACAAAATTCAGACCGCAGACTGCCGACCGGGTACAGAATGCAGACCGCAGATTGGTATAAAATTCAGGCTGAGAATTTGTTGTTTCGTCTGATACGCGATAACAAGTCATTTTTCAACTTACCAAGTGTCACTTTATCGCTTCTCCGCGATTATCTTTCACGATCATCTGGACTGTTGTGAAATATTTGTCTCAATATTCCTTGCCCGTCTCCTCCTATATTTTGTTTTTAAAAAGCGGCCACTATAGTTCTATTATTATGTATTAGACGAAAAACAGTGTGAATTTTTTATCCAATCTGCATTCTGTTCCTGATCCACATTTTGTAACCGATCTGCAGTCTGCATTTTGTACTGACCGAAAGCCAGAGTGTGGATCCTGACCATTCTCCCAGCATCACCCTTGCAGTTCAAAGTGATCCCAATTAGCTTTAACTTTATTCGAGAGTTAACCATTTTTGTTAAAAGGGATTTATCATTTTAAAACCAATTTAAACGTAATGTATCCACGACTTATTCACTGTTTCCTTTGATTCTTTCCTTCAAGTAATAGGTGAAGATCCCAGAAATTCCCAGTCTTCTAAGAATGGCTTGGTCATCGCATGGAGTGAAAGAGATAGTAGCAGACAAAAGCCATACATTAATTTCACGGATATCGTTTCATAAAATCATTTCTTACCTCTTGATGTGCAACAAGTCGTTTGACTCTGTCGCCTAAAATACGGTTAAAGTATTCTGCTAAAATTGTCACATCTTTTGGATTCTTGCGAAGCAACTTAGCAAACCGCTGACAATCGCAGAAAATAACTCTAGCCACTGGTAAATTCTTCCACTTGTACACTTTTTCTACCTTGATGACGAAGCCCTTCTTCTTCAGCATGTCTTCAGGTGAGTCATATGGTTCTTCGATGATTCCTCGCTCGTCAACATAATGTATCCTAGGAATCTTCAGCGTTTAACAATGAAACATACCATCACTAAAATGACTTCACGCTTGATAGAAACAATCGGTTCCCAGTCTAATTTCTATGCCTATCATGAATTAGCCCCTTATAAGTAAAAATACATCCAAATGAGATCCCATTTCTTTCGTTTTGTCACATTGTATCTTTTCGCACTGTTAAACTTAAGTGATGTGGTAAAGATCTTATTACAAATTTAACTGAAACCTTCGCTACTCTTAGATATCTATGAAAAACTTACTAAAAATTCTCATGTTTTCCTGGAATTCTCTGGCCACAGGACAACGTATCCAAGAGAAGTCTCGAGATGGATTTTACACGCTTTAATAAACACAACTGAGATTACAAGGTCTTCGCAGGTTTGCGAGTGAAGGTTAACTGAACTGACTATGCTTCGGTTTGACGAATTTATAGGGAGTATATTTCCGGACACACTTACATACTTCTGTGGTCAAAGCTAAGATTACACGATTGCGTAATGTGAGTCCCAGTCCCTGACAATGTATGCTTACGTTTGGTTGAAAGATATGTTTCCTATTAGCTTACCTCAGGTTCCGTTACGTGCTTATCTATAATGTCTGAAATAGACTCTCTAAGGTCAAAAAATGGCGGACCCGGCATACGCTGTGACTTCAGTTTCACATCATGCATGGTGCGAAACATTCTACCGAGCATTCTGAAACAGTAAAACAACAAGAAACAATTTTATTAAAGCCGTGTTATAGCGCATAGAATAGGCCTTGTAAGTTTTAATCAACAGCTTCCTTGGAGTGTATCAGCGAAAAATGAATTTTGGTGTGATTTTGCTGCTGATACACTCCGAGGAAGCTGTTGATTACTTCTTACTGGATTTCTCGAATTGGGATACCTTTTGACCTGTTATCCGCTGTATTCTTTGTTTGAATGTAGACCTCTGTTACCTCTATACTGTCTGAGATCACTGGAGTGCTTGCTCTCCAGTATGGCGTTGCTATGCGGTATCTTAGCACGTGATCTCTAGCTGCAAAAGGCCTATTACGAATGCTGAGTTCTTGCAGAAATTACCAAGGAACATCATCCACGGCGAATTTTGATCAATATCTCTTTCTTTCAGAAACAATAGAATGTGATACCTCAATTTTATACCTGCTACGTAACGTTGCTTTTCGTTTAACTATCAATATTCCCAGTGGCAAATCTTGGGAAAGAGCCCGGGGACCAGGGTTAGGGTCAGGGCTAGGGTGAGGCAACTGAAGTTGCTTCTGATTTAATGAACATAAATAGTGACTGTTATAGTAGGATAATTTGAAGAAGTTGCCAAGAAAATTTTCGAACGATTAAAACATCCTTTAAAGTAGAAGGGTATTTTATAACTTGGGAAAATCTTGTTTTCGTAGGATAGTTTCCCGCGATGGCCGAAAGAAACACAAAACTTTGTATATTTAATTTGGTACAGACCGAATTTCGGCCAACCTTAACTATCCTCCATTAATTATATTCATCAAAGGGTGTCCATCGATTATCCATGTTCTCAGAAATAAGCTATTAAATACTCAATATTGCATCTCTTTGGCTCGATTCTTAGTCTCAGTCCCTTTTTCACTTAATTTTCTGGTCACTGCGTAAACTAATAAAGTATATTTCGCCGAAACATTTGTATTAAAAACAGATAGAAAGTGCGATCTATTGATTAAAGATCCTACACATTGATTTTTCCCTTTAACCTATCCCGAATCACTAATTGTACCTTGGTTATATCTTAGTATTGTTTTCTTATAAAAAGTCCCTCACTGATCTCATTTTATACATACCTTATATCGGTAAGACTACTATCCCACTCTGGCATTGCATGAAAAGGCAGTGGAGCTAAGTTTTGTATTACAAGTTCTCCCACTGTTCCATCGTTTAGTTTGGAAATGTTGCAGAATATTTTCCCAACTTTGCGTGAGATTTGGAACTCGGATGAGCCAATGTCGACAAAGCATGAAAAATACATGCTAAGTGGGTCACTGTGAGGATGAGAGAATGGGTGAATAAATGAATTGCCTTTGCTTCTGTTCCACAGACTGAAAATGTAGTCAATAGGGCTCTTCCAAAATAGCAATTTAGTTGTGCTGTGCCTTATAATAGCCTATGTCTATTTTTGCCATGAAAATATTGGCAAAAGCCACCGCCGTTGTGGTATTCTTTTCCGTTCGATGTGAGAGAAAAAGTATCGAGTTCCCGGATAACAACAACAAAAATGGCGCGCAAAGCACACCAGTCGAGCGTGGCCCTTTAACAATTGAGCATACATTGTGATTCATTTTTCCAGACGAAGAGACCATCTAGGACTTTTTTCTTCCAAAGAACAAGCTAAATAGAGGCATCGGCATCTCCTTGTTAATCATTCAAAAGCTTCTATACTTAAAACTTAAGCACTCTTCAAAGTTCTCAGAAAAGATTTTTCGAGGCTCATAATACGTTTTACTCATCACGTAGTTGTGCCTAATGATCGCTACTAAATTTTTGCACATCCCAAAAGTGCTACCCACCCTGTGGCCCCCCTGAAGTCTATTTGGACATCCGTTGGAGACTTATCTGGCTGGCTGATCTCTATCGCTTCCGCTTTACAGATAGCGGAGTCCAGTATCTCAAGTTCCCCGGAGTAAGAACCAGCTTCCTCCTCCATTTTTATTACCTATAAAATACGCAATTAGAATAAGGAAAAAAATAATGGCGGTTCGATGAAACGCAATCACAAGCTCTGAGGTCTTTGCAAAGCCTCATTTGAAAGCATATTGAGACATTTCGACCACATGCTACCAGGTTTGAGGCTTTATTAAGGGTTATCGTGATACGGGATATTTGGGTAAAAAAGTAGTGGGATACAAGATACGGGATATTGAACTGGAATAATAGGGATAAAAACCATGAGAGTTGACAAGATACGGGATATTAAGGCCAAAAATCAATAGGATACGGAATGCTCAGATTGTTCCCCCTCTTCTATCGGGGCTTCACTTTTCATCAATCGTTAACGCGATCAGCTTAGGGCGTCACCATATGAATTGCATACTTCAGCTTTTACCCTACTTGTTCTTCACCACGATGACGAAGCTTGGCTTTTTCTTTTTTCGAAAATGATGAGATGTGTGTCAGCATTCAACATAATCTAAGTGACGACGCAGAACGTTTTATTGTAACTAAAAGTAAAATATGGAGAGTATGCATGCAAACAGTCTGTAAATACACCAAGCACCTTTGACGACTTATGGCTAGAGGGGTATTTCTCCGAATTCTTGAAACGCCAAGTTCTCCAAGTTCTGACTTAGTTTTTAGACCAACATTACCATCGCCTTACTTGATTTAGGTTCTGGTGTCCGAAATCCATACACGTTTGTTACAGACCTAGCTTCTGGAAGATGTTCTTGATTGGAGAACTCATTGCACATTGTTGTAGCGCAATTAGACTTCCCATCAGAGCTAAACTCGGTAAAAAATATACTATAACGCACGTTTACCTTTACAACTTGGCATTTTTCGTCGGATTCCACCACGGTGAAAGTCTGACTTGCAAACAAACCAAATGTTTCGACAGGATCAACTCGTTTAACACTCTTCACAGTCTCGTCCCCAAGACGCACCGGTTTATGATCGATGACAGCTTCTCTGGATGATATCCGTAGCGTGGAAGAACAGTTAAGCTCATTCCAGTCTTCCTCGCTTAGATGGAAAGTCGCCACGTGCGTTTTATCTTCATAGCGTAAGCTGTTGTGAATTGCTGAAGGATTCGGCTGTGAGGCAAGGTCAATAGCGAGAATCCACTTACACAGAAAGACAAGATAAGTAAACAAATAAATGACCATAAAAACGTAAATAGATAAATGTAAAAGCTACATAAATAATCTGTGAATAATCTAATTGTAAATCATCGTGAGCTTTGCTTTATCATGCGCCAGACGAAAATTATGATCAGATACTACAAGCTTAACACAGTGATTTTGTTTTCTCACTTGTAAGGGATCATCCTCAGGACTGCTGTGTTCCCTTTCAATGTAAATCACAGGCTTTGGTGTACCCTTAAATGAAGGTTGGACTGTTAACTTGGTGGTTACTTTTATTTCAACGATGGGCTCTGAAATTGCAAAATGATAAAATGATTTATATATTTAAACTCTATTTTAGAATAAGTCTAGTTCCTAAGATATGCCTTAGGACTTTCTTTATTACAATTTCTTTAAAGGAGAAGTATATTCTCCAGAAACCCCATCATTTGCATCTCCGCCAATTCTTGTGCTAAAAAATACGACTGTGGAGGCCGCAGTTTTGCAAACAACTTAGTAACCTAGCCACACTCGCAAGCACTTCATCAACAGCCCCTGCTCTCCATCTGGATCTGGCAACAATAACAGCTAAATAATGATTTGAATTCATATTGCCTTGTTTTATTATCTCCAAAGAGTTAGAATAGATCCCATAGTTTTATCTGCAAGCGCATAGATACGCAAGGAAGCTGTTGCTGTTTGTAAAGGCTGATAGTTTCTAAAGAAACTGTTTGGGGTTGCGTCGGTGGGGGTAACGAAATAATTTGGATATATCAACAAAGTTGAAATGGTAAGTTGGCCGATTACAAAAGCTGGCGTTTCGAGCGTTAGCCCTTCGTCGGAGCGAGTAGAGGAATTGTGGGTTGTGTGTGCTTTTAAAGGCAGAAAATGGAGCTACGTTATTGGTGGGAACATGGCAACGAGAAAAACAAGAATAAATTAGTGGAATGAAAAGCGTTCGTTGATCCCTGTGGGATTTAGACTGCCGGTTTGAAAGATGAGCTTTTGTTCAAGATTTTTACGGCTTTCCGTGCTACCTAAGTGTAAGGAAAGACCGCAGATTGCCATATGTTGCTTAGAATGATTAGGTAAATTAAAATGTCTAGCGACTGGTTTCGATGTGTCCTTGTCATTCCTTTCCACGTCTCGAAGGTGTTCTCGGAATCGGTCACCTAGTCTTCTGCCTGATTCGCCGATGTATATCTTTTTGCAATAGTTGCAAGTTATGCAATAGATTACATTGGCAGAGGTGCACGTGAAGTAATCTTGGTGGCTTAATTTTGTTCTTGAACCTTCACTAATTCCTTACTTGGTTTTCTCCCCAACGACGCCTTTAACAAATTCCAGGATAGTCCGTGCCTCTCCTTAAAATCAGCTGGTAGCTTATTTTCAAGAGCGTGAAAAATCTTGGTGGCTAAAACATAAATTGCGCGTCAATATTTCATGTTCATGAAACCAAGATCTTTTATCCATGCACAGGAAGGATCATTCCAATAACTTTTTTCCCTCCTGAATTCACCAAATCAAAATCAAAATTGCACAGATTTACTCTTTCCATCAATTGTAATCAAGATAAATGAAGATAAAATGAGAGGGCACCTCGCATTTTATCGTTATCAGTGTAATACACTGGAAACAACCCGTAAATTAAGGAAGATCCAGGGTTGTTACCAAGCCCTTCAGCAACACCGAATATCAAAAACTTACTCAGTGTCGATAAATTATTATAACAACTATAGAAGAATTATTATGGAATAATCATAGTTCTCTAAAACTACGCAAACTTTTCCTGCGCTTAGTGTTTTATTTTACAGTGTGAGCTTGGTCATTTCTTATGCCAACCGATCTGTATTTTCATTCCTCGAACGGCAAGAGTACGCATACGCTAAAGGCGAACAGCTTATTTAGAATTAATATGACCTCCTCCCTTGAAGAGTGGTTGTGCCTGATGTATAATTCGAAGCAAGGTCAGAGGTGATGGTAAAGTGAGGTCAATGGAGGTCTCGTTCGACAGATTGAAGCAACGCTCTGTGAGATCCAGTAACGCTTGGACAACATCGGTGGCTTTATCTGTAAATGTAAAAAAAACACTGGTAAAATTGCAAAAGAAAAAGTGAAATTGATCTGCCACAATAACATGCCTAAGTAGAAAGGTTGGAATTTGACTCGGCCCTTTTAGCGAAGCGACACATAAGATCTCCTTTCATCCAGGGTAGGATTCCAATCCAATGAAAAATAATCCCCCTTCCTTTCTTTCCCTTCTTTAACGGCTACATTGTTTTTTTTCTTTTAACCTCAAAATAAAACAGGACTACTTCTTCAGTATAATAAGAATTATGTGAAAATTTTTTGTCTCTAGTGAGGACACTATAAACCGACCTATTGTCAGTAAAGTCCTTTTTGTGTCCGCCTTGACCCAGCAAAGAGTCTCTTCTGTAGAGTCCAAATCATCTGGAAGTTTTCTATACCGAAAAAAAAAACAAACGAACAAACAAACAAATTAAAAGAAAAGAGCAAGAATCACAAACAAACATAAATGTCACGTGGTATGACCTAAGCATCAGCCAAGGAAATAAATCCCAGCGGCATGGCAGTTGACTACAGAGCCACAAGCGGATTGGCTCACGTACTAATTTTTAAGATCCAGCTTTAAGAAATTTGCTTTTTGTGGCTTAAGGAAAGACTCAGAAAGCCTCTATCCCGTGAACTTTCTGAGAATTGTGATTAAAAAAAATTGCCCAATTATTTACTGGCTTGGGTATTATAAACAACAAATTGAGGAAAACTACATCGGTGGAGTTTAACGTTTTATCAGAAGAAGAAGAAAGGGTTTGGGTATGGGACGCTCTTCTTCCCCCCCCCACCCTCCCCCTCTCCTTTCCCACCGTAGACAAGAATTCATATGACTATCTGTCTTTTAAAAATGTTTCAAAAGATGGCGTCAACGCTGCAGTAGTCATACAAGCCAATACTGACTTGATATATACACGACTGCACAACTAGTCGGGCAGAATGCATCTGAATGTTATGTGTATTTCAATTGCTTAGCGTACTTGCTTCCCAATTCGAGATCAACAGCCAGCTTCAAGCCAAGAACCGTCGGGAGAAGTTGCGACGGAACACCAACAGAGTTTTGGTAGTACTCCTTTATAGTGTCACATTTACCGTGCCATAACATGCTTGATGTGAACAGCAAAGACTCATTTGGTCTGAATATAAATGTAAAAACGATACTGTTATGGATAGTGGCTAAAAATAAAGTTTCAAAAATTTCTATACTCATACTTTACACAACAAAACGTCTAATAAGTTATTTATTATCCAACGCGCCAAACTGTTGTTTCAGCGGGCGAATTTCGCGGATATTTATTGACGGGGAGTGCGTGACAGAAGTTTGCGAAGCGGAACGGAATTGGCGCGTTGTTGTGTTGCTGTTTCTATTTTCTTCATTAAATGAAGAAATTTTCTGGTCGTCAAGCTTTTATTCTTCGTTCGATTCATCAAATGAACCTAGATCTATATTTGCCAGCCATTCTGACTCTTTGTCGTCGGAAATATGATTCAAATTGTCCACCACTCAAGAAGCTAGAGTCGCTCTCGGCTATCGCCTCGAGCGACTCTTACGCTTCTTTCGTGCTTAGCAACCTCCCGCGTGCATCCATAACTCAATAGTGTACGCTGTGGTGTTTACCATTTGTTGATTAGTTGCTGTTGTCGGAGCGACTGATTGTTTGGAAAGGTATAGCAAGAGAGAAAACAGTTGTCGGAGGTCTGTTAATTTCAAGAAACTTTGGAGAAAACGGTGAGTTTGTAGAGGGCTTAGGTGTAAGTTATTAATGATAACTACTGCATTGCTTGTTGGATTCGCTCCTATGTAAGAGTATTACACGTAGCTTAATAAGGTAGTGAAGGTAAGTTTTTTTTCTCCTTTCGTTTGAAGTTGTACTGTAACAATTACGATAGAAATTTTTATAATTCCATCGCTTATACTACAGGCTGAGAAATTTCTGAGATGTGATTGGCCCAGGCTGGTATTAAATCAGCCAAATTTGAAATACATACATGTAGAAATAACAGTTTTCGTCGTGATGGTAACCGTAATTATCGAAACAATGGCTGAAAGTCTCACTGGCTTTGACGCGAATGAGCTGTTAGAACTAAGGGAGAATGAACAACGTGGAAACACGAAGAAAGGCACGAAGAAATTGCTTAAAGTCTTTAACAACTTGGGCTGAAAAAAGAAGCTTTCAGTCCGGATATTGTGTGATATAAAGTTGAGGATTTTGATGTAAATTTTTTCGCCGAGGCGTGAAAGAAGAACAGTTTGCAGGTAACGTCAGCGTCTCTGGGACGTCATTTAATGGAACAGGCAGCAGAAGTTTCATTTTTCAAGAAGAGAGAGAGTTTGCAAACTCTCGAGGAAAAGCTCGAAATTAAAGATTATAAACTCAGTTAAGACAACAATGGCGTCGAGTACATCATTGTCGAAGAAAACCCTTTTCATTTTATTTGTAGTAAAAACAAAAAAATAGCACGGTTTATTCGTGATGCCAAGTTGATGAATTTTGAATTATAACTCGCGGTGTTAATACCACTTGAAACCATGCTATTTCATACACTAATAAATCAGCATTCTCTATTATAAACCAATAAACATATACGCTGTTCTGAGCTAATTTTGGAATAGGGGGCTTTTTTTTTCTACCCTTAGGAGTTCGCAACTTTTACTGATCATTCTTGTTTCTCCCACCGAGGAAACTTATAATTCCAATGTTGTTTACTCCGGCTAAAACTGGCTTTGGAAAGAGGACACATGATTTTGGTCTACTATCTTTTCGCAAAGGAAATTTCGCTTTTTCGTTTTGTTTTTGGTTGTTTGTTTGTTTTTTTAATCACCATTGTGTCGTTAAAATAACATGAATTAATAGAAGTGATCCTTCTCAAGAACCCTCACAAGGCCGACTATGATCATGGCGACGACAATGATGGTAATGACGACTTGAAAAATTACTTACACTTTCAACCTCGGGGCACAGCAGACGAGAACATTTAGCAAACCAGCGTGATCACTGAGATTACTTGTATCGATAACGTCAAACAACATTTCTGGCAGGAAGCCGCTTGTGCACAAAGCAAGTGCATCGCCTGTCCACAGAGTCACCTACAAAATGACATTGATAAATATACATTATACGGTCATAGCTATCGGTAATAGAGAGTGTTCTCTTAGTAAATTGTACTGAAGAGTTGCCAATATTTGGTCTGCAGCCAAGGATCTATTCAGATATCTTGATGGATCTTGAAACCATAAAAGTAAACCTAGATCAGGCACCGACCATTAGTCTGAGGCCTCTGGATGACTTTTATATAACTGAACAGCTACCCTCGAACTAAAGAGATCTACAGAATTATTGGCGCCATGCCACTATGCAGTGCGATAGGCTTGCTCGCACTTGCGACACAGATGCAAATGTATGATCAGCCATCACAGATACAAGTGCAATTTTCGACTCAAAGAATGGAACATTTTCATTTTTGATGCCTTTTGTCGTTTGCGTTTGTCGCGTACGTATTGGGAAAATAAAGAGTAAATGGGGAGGTAGCACAATGTGAGAAAAAAACTTGGAAACATCAACAAAAACAACAACACTAACATTAAATTGTGCAGAAAACGAGAGTCAGCTAATTAGATAAATCTTAAGCTCGGGCGATAACTGTAAAAGGATTGAGAAATAAGTCGTATTCAATTCTTTATTTGTTTATCTATCCAATCGCAGCCTTTCATTCTCCAAGATTATTTAGTTTTGAACCTACTAATTTTGAAGAAACACGATTCACCTTCAGAGTTGCTTGGTCATTCTTACTTTGCTCCTGAAATCTTTTCACCCAAACTGCCAGCTTTTCCTTACAGACATCTGCACATGATTTACCTTGCTCGAGGTCTCTCCTTGAAGAAAACAAAAAATAGATTTCTTAAAGTTGTGTACGTGACTAAGCGGATAAATGCGTATTATATGGGCAACCAAATTTCTAGAAATGCAGACAAAGATGTTCGCTAACCTAATGCAAAGTAGGCATATGATATAACATGTACAACTTAAGAAGCATACACATATTCGAGACAATACTGTTTAAACCTCATATTTATTTCGGATTGAATGGCAATATTTTTTTTTATCACGATGAAAAAAGTCTTTTGGAAACCTTACATAGTCAATATGACATTTTCGTATTTTTATACTACCCTTCATATTAAATTAAGACATAGAGAATATTGCACGGGCGCGCATAGATATGAAATTTCTCTTCAAGTGTTCAACTCGAGTTAAACACTCGAAGAGAAATTACATATTATCTGCTCGCGCCCACCTATTATTCTCGACTTATCATATTAACACAATATAAGCCTTCGCAGACAAAAAAGGTCGAATTTATTGACGAATGAAAAAGAATAGAAATAAGGAAATTTTAAACGCCACTGTCTGTTGGTAATACAAAATTTTTCTGTGTTTTAGCCGCCACAATCTGAGAAAATTGCCACAAACGACCTTGGACAGAGAATGGCGAAGGCCTTTCAGCTATCGTCATGACCAAATGACGTGAAAGGCGAGTAACGTGGAAGCATCTGATTGGCTATATCAAACACACATGCAAATTTATCGTAAGTTTTCAGGTGTGTTGTTACGGCTTTTCTCAGGCTAGAAATCCTTGAATAACACCACAGTTTATATGATAAAATAAAGTTCACAATTTTAAAGTTTAATTAAGTCATCAAGTTTCCAACTTGGTAACTTTCATTTATTTCTGATTGCAGGGTGAAATAAAATATATTATTATATACATACCGAGATTTACGCGCCAAAAAGCATCGAGATAAAAATAGTCCCTTCGCGCTAGAGGAGCCAGCTGACTGGTCATACGATTTTTTTTCATCAGTCAAAAACGACGTATCGACGCTCTGATTGGCTATATCATTATTTTCACTAGTGAACAAAACCGTGTCGCTCGCTCGCTGCTCCTCTTGACTGACAAATAGCACATTTCTAAGAGTTTAGGCGCATTTATCTTTAGAAAGATGACTTCAAATCAGACTAACCGTTTTCAGAGCCTAGATTCACCTGTAGAAGAGTTCATAGACGGACAGGAAAATAAAAAAAACACCAAGAAAAAGACCAAACACGATGTCGCTCTGTTCCACGAATTTCTTGTTTTGAAAGGCGAAACGAGACAAATAGACGAATTGACTCCTCAAGAGCTGAAAAAGTTCTCTTTTGAACTTCCATAGAACTATTTCGACATATTTTCAGGATGTCTTAATTTATTCTACCTAGTTCTGCCTTTTAAGGGCGTTTTCGTTTGATCATTTAGATGTAAAGAAGTATTTTTACAAGGAAGCCATTTCAGTGCAACTCCCGAACGGCGGCTTGACCGCGCGTTGCTTTCCTTGAAAGAAAATAAAGATATGTTTATCTCTGAGTTCTGTTCGCTTATGAATCTCGGTATGTATATAATAAATAAGTTATTTCACGGTTAGTTCGCTTGTACGATTTTTATTCACTCGTTGTGAATAAGATGCTCGAAGAGCATCTATGCAAAAGAAATCGCGCATCGCTCGCCACTGCTGAGGACATCATGATGGCCGGCTGTTGAGACAAGAAAATTTTTTTCCACCTCTATTACGTGGGCCTTCCGAAGACGCTTGAAAAATTTTATTTCTTGTAAAACGGTGATCAGTGAAAGTCAGAGTTCTATCGAAACGGTGAAGTGATGTACAGAAATATCACAATTTGTGCCACGCACCTTGGCCATGATGCAAGGGAATCTGAGAGAAGCCGTCGCGGTCTAGGTTTCGTAACAGTACCAACGCAAATGCAGTCTTTGCCTGGAAAAGAGGTAAACAACTGTATCTTCGATAATGTTTTGCCAGATTTGTTTTTTGTTACGTCTCGACGGTCCCAGATACTTCTTTGCCGCTTCTGAGTTACTAGTATTTTTACGAAAGATGACAAATTTCTTTCAGAATGAGCTACCCGCTTCGATTGACTCAGCCGCTGTCAGATATGTTTGCGAAGACAATGTCCATGACCAGGAAAATTGGTACAGTTTTTTTTTCGCTCGTCTAACCGATCTTTCTTTTTCTAGAACCCATTTCCTATTTCCTTGAGAAGAGGAAAAACATGCGCACGCGATTGCGCGTACTAATTCGCTTTCCTTTGTTCACATAATTTGACGTGCCAGTGTTCAATTTTGTCACAAATAAACCTACGGCTGCCGGTGCTCGATCTTATTTGATCTTTAATAAAGGCGTTCAAAGGTGAAACAACAATAACAACTGGACGAAATGACAAGGAAGGTACAGGTCGTTGACTGTTTAACTTCTCGAAGAAGAGTGAAGAAAGAAGATGAAAAGTCAAAGATTTACCCTTTCTCGTCGGTGAAACGGCTACAACATCTCTACCCGATTATATCGCTTCTAAACACAGGACTTGTTTGGGTTTTAAATTAAGGTTATAATACCAACTACGAGATATACCAACGTGAAGGCTGCTATAAAACATTGCGACCTGAACAACGATAGCGTCGATTTGAAAATGACAAAGGAAATGAGGCAAAAATCGAGCAAACAAACGACTCGTGCCTAAGGAATTTTTTTGCTCTATAAACACGTGACCAGCCTAAACCAGGGTCTCTCCTCGCTCGCTCTAGG